GGTCTTTCTAGGAGTGGGAATTGACTCGCCGGTACATCACAGCAGCAGCAACAAGAGACTAGGTCAATAGATTCTGTCGTAACGTGTAGAATATTACACAGCCGTTAACAAGAATAAAATGCTTCCACATGTAATGACAGTGTACTTACATTTCTTCAAGACACGCTGTTGGATGAAAACAGGAAGTTAAAAGAAATGTCTACACAATGATGCTATTTACAACATTAAATGAAAAACACACAGACAAAGCATTAACAATCCCATCTAGGGATAGGAAGCTATGGCAGGTAAACGCGTTAAAAATGCTATTTAACAAAAACAACCGGCCAACCCAGAGGTAGGAGAGAAGACTGTTTCAAAAGGAAAATAAAGGAGCGACCCCCCACCCCACCCCCACCCCCCGTCTCTGTTGTCTTAAAAATCTCATGATGAGAACAAGTTTGTGCATGACTTTTTGAAATGCCATGTTAAGTTTCCTTTACAAAATAAAAATGAATAAACTTTCCTAAAGAACATAATTTGCAGACACACTGCACTGCTTCCTAAGACTACCCTTTCCACCACCAGGCAAAGGCAGCTTTGTCTCCACCCACTGGGCTGAGCGGTTCCTTTGCATAACAAAAAGGTCTTACAGGTCTCCCGGGAACAAAGTGTGTTTACTCTGCCCGGGTGACCATTTTGTGGGAGAAAGTTGTGGCCGGCTGCTTCTGTAAAACTGTACAACCCTAGAAACCCCAAGGGGCGGCTCTCCTCTGTCCTATAGGGTCCCAACTGATTGGAAGGCAATGGCTTCGGTGTTCTGTTTTGTTGGTATTCATTCCAGACGAAGTTTCCGGCAGCAGAAGTCGATACACCATTGAGGCAGCCTCTGCACAGGAAAGAGAACACCGTTTTTCCTTCCTTCCCAAGCAGAAGGGCGGTTGTCAGAACAAAGCTCCTAAGATCAGGGTCAGCCTGTTTCTGACTGGCAGCTGCTTCTCCCCAGTAGTATGGCCACGCCTGTAGTCATCCGAGCGACCACTGTGGCTGTCTGTGGTATGCAAGGCCCTATGCTGGGGGCTCATGGCCCAGACTTGCATTTAAACATCACCACAAGCCCCATCAGAATCTTAGCACAAATCCAACAGGTGAGGACACTGAGGTTTGGAGAGATTAAAGAAGGAGCTGTCGGGCAAATTTTGAGTCTGCACCCTGGCCTTCACTCTTTGCTGCCCCTTCAACCTCATTAAACAGGGGGATTGAAAGAAAGGAGTGGGTTTTGCTCCAACCAATGTGTCTATGTTCATTGTAATTGAGCTGTTCGCTATATTGAAGGAGCCCTGGTGATGTAGTGGTTACAGGTTGGGCTGCGATCTGCATGCTTGGCAGTTTGAAACCACTGGCTGCTCAGTGGGAGAAAGATGAGGCTTTCTACTTCTGTAAACAGTTAGTCTCAGAAACCCACAGGGCGTCGCTGTGAGTCAGCATTGATTGGATGGCAAGGAAGCATGTTGAGTTTATTCATATTGACGTTAAGGGCCAAAAGTGATTTCTAGAACAGGATTGAAGCGTCTCGGATCTGTCCGCCTGTGTAGCTGCAGAAGTTCGGAGTAGGGCGGCATGGAGAGCCAGCTGCTTCCAAGGAGCCCCCAGTGACCAGTGCCACAGGGGAAGCTGCTGGATTCCAAGGCAGCTTGGTCTCATGACAATATACTCCTGTGTTGGCTTTTCTGCTCCACTCAGAATGCAGACTTCATAGCGTCTATTGGGGAGTGGTGGTGGTGGTTATATTTATTAATAGACTCCAGGTTTGTCCAGATCTTACAGATGGCGAAAGCCCTAAAATGAAATCAATCACCAAGAGCCTGGAATTCGTATTTCCTTCCCACTCCTGTGGCTACTAAGGGGTCTTTTATCCCAGTACTGCTTTTAATCCAAAAACATGTGAGGGGGCAGGGAAGAGGCAGGCAAAGTTGTCTAACAAGGCAAGGTAGTCGGCACACCTGTCCACCAGATGCCAGGAGCCTTTGTAGAAGGTAAGAACGTATGTAACAAATTTCCCCCCAAAGAGTGGGTGAGGGAAATAAATTTTGAGAAAAGAGTGGCAGATGGGATAGATGGATTCAATTAAGGCAAAGAACATCAGACGGTCCTGGGGATGCCTCATTTTAATGGAGCCTGTCACTCCTCCTCCTTGCCTCCAGGTAACTCCGGAGGACCGTGGAGGCAGGAAGCAGGGTGTGCGCACCCAGCGCTTCCACCCCAGCAGGAGGTTAATATCCGCAAATGAGGGGCCAATACGCCCTCTTGTCTTCTTGCACACAGGCCTCAGGCTCAGTGAAGGCACGCCCACAGAACCCGGTGCTGTTCAAATGGAATCGAGATGTTCCAGTCATCTCTGTTGAACCCATTTTTTTATTTGGTGCCAGGGAGAGTGTCCTTTTTAATTAAACCCATCAGTCTGTCCGTTTTCTGAGTCAGCAGACGAAACAACGGAAATATTCATGTTGTTTTTTTATCGTCCTAAACATTCATCACGAGGGAAAGGTGGTGTTGTGTCTTTGTAAGGTTTTTATCACAGACATTCTACCAGCATGCTTTCGATGGCTGTTCTGCAGGTCACTTTATTCCTACTAAGAATATATGACTCCCCTGGCCACGAACTATTTGTGAGCATTTACTACTCAAAGGAACTCAAATCTGCCATAAATTTGCCATCTGTACTTAGATCGACCCAAAACTACTGGCATGTGCAGATAAAGACGTGTAGGGAGGAAAATGGGAATTTCAGGCTTTGGGATATTGATTTCACCCTACAGTTTCAGCCACATGAAAGTATCTGAATACTAGTGCCAGGTGACCTGTATATTCATGCAATGCGAAGTATGACAGTCTGGTAGTTTAATGAGCAATGCAGTCTTACTTCTGTAGTTCCTGACTGTGCAATTTAATTGACAGCCAGGTTATCCATCCTTACAAAGTCAGAGGTGAGTTAGTTTGACCAGGCTGGTATCAACTCTATCATCAGAGGAAACAACTGTGGAAGGCTGAGAGTAGAATCTCTAGGATTAGATATTCCATCTTCCAACCGTCATAATGTAGGTGTTCACGTAGGTGTGCTCCGATGCGCTGTGAAGTCTGACAATGTGTCCAAAGCCTGATTTGGTATGGATGCAGTTTCAGACTGCAGTTCATGCTGTTAGCACGTTCCATAGTAAACCACCCCCCGCGCAGCCAGACGAGATTCATACTGGCTATCAAACCACAGTCAGGGTCCTAGGCAACCTAGAAACTTAAGAGGAAGCAGTGAGCTGATGGTAAGAATAGGGAACCATCGTTTATTTCTCTGGAACGTAGGTGCCCTAACTTCTGCTGCTGCTGCTGCTGTTGTGTACGGTGGAGCAGGCTCCAACTGAGAGAGATCCCAGTTAACGGAGTCTGCCTTGTAGGTTTTTCTGAACTTTTGGCTTAACAACCGAGCATTTACCATTGAGTCACCAGAATGATACCCAAATTAAACTGGCAAGTCAATTCTGACTCACAGAAACCCGTTAAGAAAACCAAGCTCACTGCCATCAAATCGATTCCAATGCCCAGAGACCTGCCCCACGCTCCCCTTCATGGAATTCTGAGGCTGTAAATCTTTACAGGAGTAAAGATCTTGTGGTTACCAGTCCCATGAACAACCCGCTACACCACCGGGGCTCCTGCAGAGGGACTCTAAAGGACAGTGGGTCTCCACCCTTTGGGGTCAAATGACCCTTTCACAGGGATCGCCTAAGGCCATCAGAAAACACATTTCCAATGATCTTAGGAACCGAGACACGGCTCCTCTGACTCCAGGCGGGTCTGCCCACATGCAGATATGCTGATCTGGTGAGAAAGAAGCTATCTGTCGCAAAATGTAGCAATGTAGTTTACTGTTGTTATATTGAGACTGTTACCCATGCTACACCATGCTTCAAGACAAAATTTCATGTATTTGTAATCAGAAATAAATATTTCACAGTATATAATTACATATTGTTTTTGCGATTAATCACTATGTTTTAATTATGTTCAACTTGAACAATGAAAATACATTCTGCATATCAGATATTTACATTATGATTCATAACATTAGCAAAATTACAGTTATGAAGTAGCAATGAAAATAATTTTATGGCTGGGGGTCACCACCACATGAAGAACTGTATTAAAGGGTGGTGGCATCAGGAAGGTTGAGAACCACTGCTATAGGGCCAAGTAAAACAGTTTCCAAGACTGTAATCCTTGATGGAAACAGACAGCCACAGCTTTCTCCCAGGGAACGGCTGGTAGGTTCAAACCACCAACCTTTTGATTAGCAGTTGAGTGCTTCAACCACTGTGCCACAAGGGCTCCTTCCAGGGCGATAACTCACCGCCATTGGTCGATTCCGACTCATAGCGAATCTGTAGGACAGGGCAGAACTGCCCCCTGTGGGTTTCTGAGACTGTAACTCTTTCCTGGAGTCGAAAGCCTTGTCTTTCTCCTGCCCAGGGTGAAAAACCACCTGTAATTTTTTTGAGTGGCTTACAGTGGCTCCTGAGAGGGGAGAGAAAACTGTAGATGCTTCCACCTCTGACGCTCAGTAACTAGAGTCCCCTTCTCAGCAGCCTGGAGGAGGACAGCATTTAACACCTACCACTGTGGGGCCATTTCCAGGAGTTAGCGTATGATCTGGTCATTGGAGAGTCCCTTTCTACAAGGTAGTTTCTGAATTCAAAGAGCAAAATCTTGAGCACCTGAACTTCAGTTTGGGGTAGTAAACACAGTTCAACATGCACGGCGGTGATGGTTGCAAAGCATGGGAATATAATAATGTCGCTGAATCGGAGGGTTAAAGTGTCCAGTGTTGTTAAAGATCTTTTCACACACAGTGCCCAGAAGACAAGTGACAAACAGACTACAGAAGATACTTAAATAAAATCGCCTCGGTAAGCAATTCTGAAGGGGATGACAGACAATTCACAGGAGATTCAAAAGAGGGACAGGTGAACTTTTCTCAAACTTTTTCTTTATTCAACTTATTTTTCTAGGATGTTTTTAGTTCAATCATTCTGTATCCGTGAACTATTGCTGCATAACAAGTTACCCCAAAAGGACGCAACTTAAAATAACAAACAAGCATCCAATTGCTCACAGTTTATGTGGGTCAGGAATCCGGGCCTGGTGAAGCGAGGTATGCCTGCCTCAAGGTCTCTCACAAGGTTGCAATCAAGATGTGGGCCAGGACTGTGGCTTCATCTCAAGACCCAACGGCAGGAATGTGGGTTTGCAAGCTCACTCTTACGGCTGCTGGCAGCATTCAGTTTTTTGCTGGCTGTTGGCTAGAAGCCTTCCTGGGTTCCTGGCCACATGGACTTCTCCATCGTGCAGCTCACAACGTGGCAGCTGATGTGCTTGAAAGGAATGAGAGCAAGACACAGTCTTTTTGAAACCGAACCTCAGAATGGCTATCCTATTAATTTTGCCATATTCTATGTAGAAGCAAGTCATCAGCTGTAGTCTACAGTCAAGGGAGGGGAATTACACAAATGTATGGATACCAGGAGCTGGGGATCATCAGGGACCCTCTGACTAGAGGGTGTCTACCATGCCTCCCTTTGCATGCAGAGAAATAAAGGAGCAAACACCAAGACAGGTAAAGAGTGGAGTGGGAAAGCTAAAGGGGAAGAGAAGATGTTCCAGCATCTTACTTTGCCTCTGAGTGTGCTCTCTCTGCCCCCCTCCAAGTCCCCCCCACCAATGTCGAGCCACATAACATACCCTCTGAAGAGCGGCTTTCTTCATAGTCGCATCTGGTCTCTCCTCTTCACCGACAGGCCTTCATCTCTTCCCACCCTGAATACTGTGGCACAGCATTTCCGCTCGGACTTCCTCAGTGACGGTGCTCACGGTTCCACATGCTTAGCTGCTAAGTGAAAGGTGAGAGGCCACCCACCACACCAAAACCAATCGCACTGCCATCGAGTAGATGTCAAGTCATAGTGACACTACAGGACAGGGTAGGGCTGCCCCTGTGAGTTTCCAAGGCTGTAATTGTTGACGGGAGTAGAAAGCCCCATCTTTCTCCCAAGGAGCAGCTGGTGTTTTTGAACTGCCGACCTTGCAGATTGTGCCTCAACTCATAACACCACGGGCTTGGCCATCTCTACTTCTGAAAGAGGTTGGCTACTGAAACCTGTAAAGCACAGGTCCACGCTTGGCACCCGGGGTGTTGCCAGGAGTGGCACTGACCCAAGGGTAACCGGTGTGAAGTTTCCAGCCAGCTTCCATGCCTGCTCCAGCCAGGGTCACCTTTCGGAACAGCACTTTCAACATCCAAGGATTCTCATGCTACACAAAGTCCTGCCATGGCTCCCCACTGGCCAAAATCCACTCTCAGGTTGCCACTCCACACCTCCTGTGGCTTGACCCAGCCTGGGTAACTGAACCCATCATCCCCAAGTAAACCATGCCCAACACCCAGAACACCATACTTGCGCTCAGCGCGTGAAGCCTCTGCTAGCACCATTACGTCCTAGCCCTGTAAAGGCCGCCCTCCCCTCACCAAGGGAGGTAAATCCTTCCCGATCTTCAGGCCGCAAAGCCCATCTTGTCTGTGCTATGTGCTGTGACTGCTTCACACGCTGGACTGTGGGTCTCCTGGCACGGCCCTCAGAGAACACGCTTCTCACTGCCCTGACCAGTCGTGGCAGATATGGCGTGCAGGTCTTGTTCTCCCAAGGAGATGGCAAGGTCAGACCTTCCTCCTTCCGCAGAGATCACCAGACCACACTGCCCTGAGGGCTGGGCCTCCTTTATCTTCCTCTTCTGAGCGGCTGTGATTCTGAATCGACTCCGTGGCAGGGGGTTTGGTGTTTGGGAGTTCGAAGCGTGGCTGGTCTGCGACCTGCAGTGATTATTGGAGAGATGAACGGAAGGATGGAATGTTACCCAGAGTCTAGCATATCTTAAGAGGTCAATGAGTACTACATGAAGGTTAACACCACCTATCGTTAAAACAGGAATTCTCCACCAGACAGCATCTCATCTACCTAAGAACCTTTCCAAATGGAGCAAAGGCAAATGAAAAATCTGTGTCTGAATCCCATTCCACACAAACATCACAACTATGGACTAATGTGGAACTCGTTCTTCCTCCCCCACATCCTAGACCCATTTTGAGACACAATCGTCTGCGTCAGGAGCCGGGCGTTTGTTAGCTGACACAGCCAGGGAGGAACTCACCCAATAACACAGCTATTCCAATTTGGTGCACTTCCGTTATGGGGCCAATGAGTCCATGCTCACTGTATCAACTCATAAGGACCCCATAGGGCAGGGTCCACCTGCCTCTGTGGGTCTTCAAGCCTGAAACTCCTTATGAGAGCAGACAGCCTCCTCTTTCCCCCTCAGAGTGGCGGATGGTTTTGTACTGCTGACCTTGTGGTTAGCAGTCCAACACGGAACTCACTAGCTAGCAGGCCTTTCTAATGAGCATTCGATACCACAGCAAACTCACTGCCATGACGTGGATGCAGACTCAAGCAACCCTATAGAGCAGGGTAGAACTGCTCTTGTGGGTTTCCGAGACTGTAACTGTTCATGGGAGTATAAAGCCCTGCCTTTCTCCTCCAACAAGCCTTAGGGAAAAAGAAATGTTAAGGACTAAATGGGTGTAGAGAAAGAGAGAAATATACATTGAATGGAAGAGGCTGCCCAGGTATTTTGTGTCATCTGGTCAATTCAACCCTATAGCACAGAGTAGAACTGCCCCATAGGGTTTCCTGGGCTACAGTCTTTCTGATCGAGGTCCTGGTAGACCCAGCGGTGAAGTGCTCAGCCTTTAAGGTCCCGGTTCAAATCCACCAGCACTCTATCGGAGGAAGATGTGGCTACTGGCTTCCTTCAAGATGAACAAGCTGTCAAGAGTTTGGTTTGTCACAGGGAATCCAGGGCGGATGATCCCTACAGGACCAGTGGTGTGAGTGACCATACTGGAAGAGTAGAGGGAGAGTGGGTTGGAAAGAGGGAATGGATTACAAGGAACTATGTGACCTCCTCCCTGGGGGACGGAGAACAGAAAAATGGGTGAAGGGAGACGTCGGACAGGGCAAGATATGACAAAATAATAATTTATAAATTATCAAGGGCCCATGAGGGAGGGGAAAAATGAGGACCTAATGCC